TCACTTCCACAGCCAAACCCAATCCCCCTGCATAAACAGATAAGATACTTCCGTGAAGCGTGCGTACGGTTACAATAGACATGTCTTGGTATCATTTTATCAGACCCCATCTGTAGGATGGGTTCCTTTTTCATATCCTGAATCATGTATGCATGTCCAAAACCTTCGGATTTGGGTTTCCATTGATCATTGTATTTTAGTCTGTAATTTTATACTTTGGCCTCTGCTTCCCCCTGCAGGTGTAGTGGGGGGAGTACAAGGACTTCCATTGCAGCTCTTGGAGGTGTTGTCTTTGCTCCTGTAATTCCCAAGAAGGCCATCCTTTGCAGTTTGCCAAGTTCTGCCTAATTTGCTTTCAGTGTAACTCTGGGCCACCATATAGTGGCAGCATCTGTAATCATGGGTCTTACTACCGCAATGTATATCCAATATGTCACCTTTGGTTTCTATCCCAAAGTTTTCCCAAATGTGCCTCTGCATGTCCAGAACGCCTTGTAGGCCCTATTGATAACCTTATCCAGCTGCATTTTCCATGCAAGTCCCCTGTCTAATGTTATTCCAAAGTACTTGACTTCACTGGATAGCTGGATCATTTTACAGAAGAGGATTTGTCCCTTGATTCTCTTCATGTTCCTCTTTGTAGTAATGGGTATAACTACCCTTTTATTTGGATTGAGAGACAACTTTGTTCTTTCCCACCACTGTTGGACTGTGCACTTGACAAAGTAAATGCACATCAATGTACTAATATAGTAACTGCATATTTTGCATACAGATTGGTAAGATCTCTGGTGCCCTCTTGCATTTTATAGTAATCTTTGAAACTTCCATAATATTCGCTTTGTTGTATCTTATGGCTGTTGCTTAATAAGTGTAATTGAGCTGTAATTTAATATTCGCTTAATGCTATATTCTGTTAGCAACATACAACTTTTGTTGATTTAGTTCTTGTATTCTTCCTTGACTTGTTAGCCCAAAACAGTTACATTGCAGTAGAATTGGGTGATGCTCGCCGTTGTTCCAGTCACCCAGAATTAACTCTTGAAATCAGTCTCTTGATTTAGATATGAAATTGAGTTATTTCTTTATTCACGTTTCAAGTAGTTGTGTACAACGCAACAAGCTAGGAACACAGTATTGGTATTAGAAGTATCAAGTGTAACCGCTCACTTCCTTTGTGCCCTTTTCGTTGTGCGCCACTCCACCACCGCTCACTTCTTTGGGTTCTTTACTTTAATCAGTAGAGCTGGGTTCCTATCCCAGGGTCTTATAAGGGTCTGGCTCGGACAGGGCAGGAAGAACAATTCACTACAATCACCCACCTTTCGACGGTTGCACTTAGTAGTCCTTTAATCCCTTCCAGCTTTCTACATACAACTGAATTTATTAATAATACTATTGAATTGAACTGTACTTATACTATTTTACGGAAGGGCCGTAGTGGTAAATTTAGTTTCCGACTTTGCCGAAAGTAGTGTCAAGACTTTCCGAGGTGGAATGCCTCTCTCTCTGAAACCTGAGGTCCACGAACCCCAGACTCCAAGAGAAATCCACTCCTCCACTTCTACCATTGGTTAATTTTCCAAACTAGGAGGTTCCCTAAATTTTGAATTCCCAATCATGTTGCTCTGCTATGTGATTCTGGCAGATGCTGACCTGACGCTAAGGATGACAGCCCCTTGATGCATTACAGTCAGGGTGTGAGGCTCCGGCCGTCCCACTTCTAAGTTATCGCTGTCCCAAGCTGTCAGCTCTCATTTTCTCAAAGCCTTTCCGACGTTGCTGAAACTGCCAGAATTCCAGGAAAGTACCAGATGTTACTTCCTGTTCACATAGCAAAACTTGAACTATGTCCCTTCCGCGTGTAAGAGCTGGCTATCTGCCGGATCTCTTTGTTTGTAATATTGTTAATCTTAACTTAATACAAAATTTAATTTTCACACAACACTCCTCCAGTCAGAATGGACGGTTACACAAGGGCTATGTGCATGTGAAATTCATGAGGAATGAGGCTGTAATGTGAAAGGCATTTTTGACAGCGCATTTGGTGTCACCTGGCCTATAGTAATATTTTTACCTCTCCAGATAATGATCTGTGTGGCTAAGAGTTCAGCACAAATTCATAGTCTGCAGTGAAAGTGAAATACAGTGATTACTGCATTTGGTCATGAATCCCATGTCCTGACAGTATCAGCAAACCCTCCACGGTTCCTCATAAATTCTTGTTTCATATAAAACACCATTGTCTGATACTTTGATACTGCTTCCATTGTGAACTGTAATTAATTCATGATAAGTATTTATGATTGCTAGCAGAACAGTGCCAAATTTTCCTGTCTTAATTATAGTAACCGGAACCACTGTTCAGAGGTTTTTGACAGAATTAGCACATTTTCCATCAAGTCACCTAACACAGGTTTCAAAGTTCTAATTCAGATACAACATACTGATGCAACACTTATTATATCAACCCCTGATGTTGAAGATAGTCTCCAGAATATCTGATTTCATATTGGCATGGCTGATCATGCAAGAAGATTTCATTGCCACATCATCTTAAATTCCTGATGCAGTTTCTCCCAACTCCTGTTCATGTAATGGGAACTAGAAATATAAAATTTGGTATTAATGATATTGTGATGAGTCATCTTACGTCCATTGCCGCACAGCGGCTACAATGGAAATTGTGGAGATCTCACAGCGACAAATCGTAACAAGAGAAGGCTGTTGAATAACAACGGATGAGGCGAAACTCGTTACCAGTGTATAAAGAGCGTTCCCAAAGCAACAGATTGCCGAACACTTGAGATCGAACCTTGGCAAATGGTGTCTTGTATCCGGTCCGCAGAATACCTACGTACACCGAGAGCAACAGAGGTACAGCACCACAGAGCTAATTAGCCTTCATACAATGCAGTTGGATCCAAGCCTTCATACAAGACAGTTGGAACGTAGTCGAGACGTTGCAGAAGTGATATCAGCAGTGATAACAATTGTAAGGTGTTTAAGGCTGTGTGTCCAATAAAGATTCGCTGAATCCGAGACCCACGTGAAGTTATTTGTTGTGTGACACACCTAACACGTGACAACTGGTGTTCCAGAAGTGGGATTGGATTTAACACACGTGACAATATGATGGTGAAAGGTAAAGTTGTAAGGTGTCGTTACTTATTTTCATATTTTACATATATTTTGTTCCAAAAAGTAACTGAAGCCCTTGAAAGTTTGAATGATAACACATTTGCAGATTCTGCACATGATGTGTGCACACCATTTTTCCAGTGAAGTACAGGCTTGAAAAAAAATGCAAGTGCAGGAGAAGTTTTTTTAGGTGGATGAAAGAGAATTAATTACCTTTTGATAATACAACTCTAAAAAATTCTCTTAAGAGCAAAATCGTGATGGGCTGGATATTATGGGAACAAATTGTCATTCTCTTTAAGAATGATGATTAGCCGTTCATAGATGATAGCTGAGACAATTTTATTAGGTCATTTTTTATGGAAAGCAAGGCACCGAAAATATTTGTTTCAAGTGGTAGGAATAATATACGCGGTTAAATCAATAAGTAAGTTACAAATGGATATAAAACTTAAACAAATAAGAGTACTGATTTGAAAAATGCTTTTATTTC